TAGTGCATTTATGAAGTCAATAGATGTCGGTTCTTTTACCAAGAACGTTGTGAAAATGTTTGAACTATTTTGCAAGTACATTGAGGTTATTGGATCACATAATATGATCCAAATTATTACTAATAATGCATCAGAAAATATTCCTACAGGTTTGTCAAAACCTAAACCTATGTTATTTCATTTAAAGAATGAATTTTTTGTCTTAGTATAAATTATAATATGACATTACAGGAAAATTATTGATGGACAAATATCCTCACATTTATTAAATTCCTTGTGTTGCTCACTATTTGAATTTAATAATGGAGAACATTTTTAAAATTCAAAAGCTAAGGTGATGCTTTGAAAAACGAGCGGCATTACACAGTTTTGTATATTTTAGGTCTCGCTTGATTTGATGAGAAAGTTCACAAATAACACTTGTCAAACCCTCCAAGACTCGTTTCACAATAGTTTTCTTAACTTTACAATGTTTTCCTCAACAACTGAACTTGAATAAGATGTTTATTTGTGAAGAGTTCATTTTGGGTCCTTATGTGAAAGAGACTAAAGCAAAACTAAATCAATATATAATCTTGCAACAATCATTTTGGAAAACTATTGTGCATACCTCAAAAATAGCTGGTCATTTATTGAAGGTTCTTAAATTGATTAATAGAGAGAAGCCCCCAATGGTTTACATATATGAATAAATGAATAGAGCAAAAGGGGCAGTTGCAGCAAACTTCAGTAACAATAATAAATATGGTCAAATTTTTAAAATTATTGATAAAAGATCATAAGGGAAATTAAACCGGCCTCTACATGTAGTGTCACATTTTTTAAATCCTAAATATTTCTTCAATAACCCTAATATTGTTAAGTATAAAGAAAGAATTGATGGTCTTTATTCATATATTGAATGATTGTCAAAAGATATAGATGAAGAAGACTAAATCAGTATTAACTAATGTATATACATTAGGGGTGAATGACTATTTGATATTCCTCTAGCTGTAAAACAAATGACTACCTGATCTCCATGTATCATTATTTGCATAAAATAAAGGTTGATTAACAAGTCTATAAAAATAAAGAATAAATATTTCATTTCTTCAAACTGATTGATAGTTAGCGTATGGCCAAGGAGCTTCTTATTTACAAAGTTTTGCTATCAAAGTCCTTAGTCTAACATGTAATTCATCCGGATGCGAATGCAATTAGAATGTTTTCGAACATGCAAGTATTTTTACAGAGTATGTGTTTCTTTTTTTATGTATGTTCATGATATAGTAATGTAATAATGTTTCAATTGCAGCTTAGTAGCAAACAAATAAGGAAAATGGATCATGGTCGCTTAAAAGATTTAGTTTATGTAAAATATAATATAGCATTGATTCAGAGATACAATCATTGTGAGTGACTGATCCTATTTCTTTAACTAAGATAAATGATGCAAATAAGTGGCTAACATGAAAAATGGATGATCAGTCTAATGAAAAAAATGACTTTCTTGCTCGAGAGGAATATTTGATACGAACAAGTGTTGCTAAGGCTACTAGTGTTTATGATAAAAACTAAAATATTCGGGATAGATATAAAGGAAAACAAAAGAAATCTTCATCTAGGCATGATGTTGTTGCTATTGTAAATGAGGATGGGGGTGATGAAGAAAATTATGAAATATGAGACAATGCCGATGAAGATAATGAAGCTTTTTTAACATTTGCTGATGATGATGATTCACAAGAAGAGTAGATCAAATTCTTATAAAATCATTATCCTTTAAAAAAAATGATTATAATAATTTGAATTATGCGAGATTTGAGGTTTTGTCTACTTGAACTTATGCATTAATATGATTGTCTTTTATTATTATGAAAGATTGTCTTTCAGTTTAATGCTATTTCATATTCATGTTTATTTTTGTTATAATTATTATATAGTTTTTGCCATTTTCAAAATGGTGTATGCCGGGCCGTGTGCTGTGCGCCAAGGCTCCGGAGAGAACTTTGCGCCGTGGTGCGCCATTCGCCGTTAACATGTATGGTCTTTCCCAAAAGTTTTGTATTTCTTGTTCATAAGCTAAATGTCATAGAATTTAGTTTCCTTTATCTACATCTTGTAATTCTAAATCATTACAATCAATACACTCTGATGTATGGGGACCAGCTCTGGTGCCCTCTTGTAATGGTTGTCGCTCCTATGTTATTTTTGTGGATGACCATACACATTATTCATGGGTTTATCCAATGCTCATTAAATCAAAAACTTTTCTTAAATTTCAACATATCAAACTTCTTGTAGAGAACCAATTTCCTAATTCAATTGTTACTCTAAGAACTAATGAAGGAAGAGAATTTGTAAACAATTCCTAACACATCTCAACGAAATGGGGCTGTTGAACACAAACATCATCATCTCATTGAAAATGCTCATACTTCAATTTTTGATGCAAACCTCCCGTATTGGTTTTGGGTATATACTGTTTTAACAGCAACTTACCCCATCAATAGAATGCCAACACCTGTTTTAAAAAACATCTCTCCATATGAACTGTTAACCGGTTCAACTCCCAACTATCTCCACTTAAAACTCTGTGGATGTAAATGTTATCCTCTCCTACCCCCTCATTCAAAGCAAAACTCTCACCTAAATCCCTTAAAGCAATTTTCCTGGGCTATGCTGAACCAACAAAAGGCTACTATTGCTATATTTCTGAATCTGGTAAAGTTACTATTGCTGTTAATGTAATGTTTCATGAGCATATCCAACCATTTCAAACTCAAATAAATAAAAAAAAGTCCTCCATCATCACTCCACCGTTACATTCTACTAACCCTCTTACTCTTGTACCAACATCTCTACTTCTCACTACAGTTTCTGCAATCTCATTCTACACCAGCACCTTCTGGACATTCACCCAGTTCGTCTACTTCTCAGATTGCATCTTCCTCCTCTCCCAGTCTTAATTCTCAAGACATTACTGAATCTCCTCCACCTCCCACTGAGCACCCTATGCTTGCCAGTTTTAAAACAGGTAAGCTTAAACCACAACAAATCTTCACACTTCTACATCAATCTCATTCATCCAGTGATCGTACATGCTATTCAGTTTTTGTTAAATCACCTCACTGGAGACAAGCTATGTCAACTGAGTTTCAAACTTTACAAATTCAGGCAACTTGGACTTTAGTGCCACCAAACGTTGATCAAAAAGTACTTGGTTCAAAATGGTTATTTAAAACTAAATTTCATGAATAAGGCACCATTGCTCGTTATAAAGCCCGGTTGATGGCACAAGTTTATAACAAGAATATGAAATTGACTTTACAGAGACATTTATTCCAGTTGCTTATAGATACAAACAATTAGACTCTTTTATGGTTTCTCAAACTTTCCAATAGACCATTAACAACTTGATGTTTCTAATGCATTTCTAAATGGCAATCTCACCGAGACAGTCTATGAGTAGGCCACCAGGTTTTAAAGGCCTGAATTATCCACAACATGTCTACCAACTGAACAAGGCCATCTATGGATTGAAACAAGCTCCTAGACAGTGATTTTCTACATTTACAACCTATCTAATGCTATGAAAAGCAAGATCAGTTATTTTATTTAGTAATCTATGTGGAAGATATCCTCTTAATGAGCAATAATTTTGATTCTTGCTCAAAATTACTATCACATTTGTAGACCAGATTTCAGCTAAAAATACTTGGGCCACTAGCTAATTTTCTTGCTTTACAGATTTCTCCTATTAACAGTGGTATACTTCTTCGCCAACAGAACTATGCGACCTCTATTCTTAAAAGGGCTGGAATAAGTGATTGTAAGCCTATACTCAGCCCATTATCAAGCAAGCAAACTGATTTGCACTCAGCAGACAAACCATTTTCGGATCCATCAATGTATCGTCACATTGTTGGTTCATTACAATGCTTAACATTAACTCGCCCAAATCTCACTTATGCTGTTAATCGTGTATGCCAATTCATGCCCGCTCCCACAAATTCAGTATTTCATTATGCTTAAATGTATTTTGAGATACACTCAAGGTACTCTGCATCTTGGATTACCTATTTGCTCTGGCAACTTCTCCATTTGAGCATTTACAGATGCAGACTGGGCAGGGGATAAAACTGAGAAAATCCACTACAGGGTATTATATCTTACTTGGATCGAATCTCATTTCTTGGGAACAAAGAAGCAAGCTACTGTGCCATGCTCCTCTACAAAAGCTGAATATCATGCTCTCTCACTACTTGTCACTGAACACATTTGGCTCAGAAGATTGCTTACAGATTTTCAAATAGATACTTCAGCTCCCTCTCCCATAAATTGTGACAACATGTATGCAATATCTCTAGCAAACAATCTGGTGTTTCATGCGAGAACTAAATACATTGAGATTGATCGTCATTTTATTAGGGAGTGTATTAAATCTAAAGCAGTTATTGTTCATCAAGTTTCCTCACTTGATCAAATTGCAAATATATTTACTAAAGCACTTCCCAATGTCAGAATCATTATCTTAGAGACAAATTGAACATCTAACCTTGAAGGATCAAGTTGCAAGGGCCAATCCACCCTTAGGAATGATCACAAATCTGTTTCAGCATAACAGTTTCACCAGCTCCACTCTCTCTTCAGAACTTAACATTTCTACTACCACTCAATATTCTTTCGGTTACTGTGAACCGCAGGATGTTTTTGATGCCATGCTGAGATACCTTTTGCTGTATCTATATATACATGAACTGTATTACATAGAAGACATAGATAAAATTATCTTTTCATTCTTTCTATCTTTTCTTATTGATATCTCTTCCATATGCTCTCTGTTTCTGCTTGTTACAGGTTATAATTTCTTCAAAAACAAACCAAGATAATTGACATTCATAGGGCTAAACCAACAAAAAAGATGACTCAGCAGTTAAACCACCAAGAAATTATGTCAAAAAAAATTCCGAAGTCGACAATCAAATACTATAAATAAAAAAAAACACAAAAATATATGGAAAAAAATGCAAACAGTTCCAGCAAGGTTAGAATTATGATAAAATTAAGAGCTCTGTCATCACAACAAACCTAATAGACCTACATAACTTCAACAAATCTGAAAGGCACATCAAAATATTCCCTCATCAGTGTGGCCTTGTCTTTAAATACAATGGTCACAAAGCGGATGAGTTTCTAAATGGCCAGTAAGAAACCAATAACTTAAATAACCAACAGACTATCCAATACTAACTTAATAAGAAAATAAATTCATTAAACGAAATGGCATACAGGCTCCTTCCTTGCAGAGAGCAATGCATCGGAATCAAAAGTGCAATCCTCTTTAGTTGGTGGTACCAAAAATCCAATATCGTATATCATTCCTCGCTTCCTCGTGATCGGCTGCAATTCAAAGATTCCGCAAAGAAGGATCAACTGGAAGTAGAAAGAAAGAAAAGCAACACACATTCAAAAGTAAAAGAATTTGTTAACAAAGTAAACCTGCGATATCTTTCATAAACAGGACTTCCAGCTCTATCATTTTTAGGACTTCTCGGATCAGGCTGCTTATATGGACTAGGACCACGGCCATAATCAGGACTATCCCTTTCCAAGCCTCTTCCATATGGACTTGCAGATCGACCACGGCCTCTTCTATCAGGAGAAGAATACTCTCTGCCTCTCCGGTTAGGGCTGTGACCATTTCTTCTACCATCATCATTATTATTATCATCATCATCACGAACAGCATACTCTACAGTAATAACACGATCAACCAACTTACTGCACATCCAAGTTAGGGGTATTAAGTTAGTTGAAAAATCATTTATAGATATCCTAAAAAACTTCACCAAGTAGAAAAAACATGAATATTAACGATGCAACATAAGATGAAGGCAAGATGTTCAAATACAAGAACTAAGTTCAATTAATTAACATATAACAATTGATCTAAAAGGTAAGCTACAGATGAAGTGCTTCCCCTTTTGAGCTTCAAGCAAATATTGCTTCTACAGTTCTACATATTAAATTTGGATAGCCAGAGCATTCAGTAGCTTGCATTCAAATCAATTCAGTAAGCAGCGGATCTGGAACTCAACAATAAAATCATAGCTTGCAGCAAAGTACAAAATGCACATTGAATTTAGTTAAACAGAAGAAAAAAATTATATTAAAGTCAGTTTGTAGAGATATAAAACAATTATGATGGATCAACAACAGCCAGTACACTATAATGAACAGCAAAGGTGTATGGAGGAACCGACCTACAAATCCACCTATCGTTGATCACCGTTAAAAATAAAATAAAATATTAGAAAAAGCCATAGCAAAGTTTAACACATAAAGCCTTCACAGATATGGTTTAGATTTGATAACCACATTAAATGGATTTAGATTGACTATAGAAACTAGTGCTGTATAGATGAAGGGTCCTGCATGACAAGGCTTCACCAATTACAAATTCAGAGCATGAAAAGGCAGTCTGTAAATCCAAATTCAGAGCATGAAAATAAAACTAAGAGTTTCCATCAATATAGTTAAAAAAAGGGCTGAGGCCTTTAGGATGCTTTAAGGGTTTAAGGTTTTAAGATGTAGGGGTTTAGGTTGTAATGTTTAAAGATTTTAGGGTAATCCAGATTTAGCATTTTGATATTAAGGTTTTGGGTTTTAGGGCGGGGTTGGTTATGACTTATATTATTTAAAATTAGGTAAACAAAGATTATTTATGAACACAGCAGATATCATTTAAAATACATATGAAGTGGAGAAAGCGCACTTCTCAATATATAATTTCCTGCTGCAAATATGCTAATTATGTCCTCTGTGAATCACCGCACTGTAGATGTATCACTATATAATTTATGAAGTATAACTGAATTCTATAGCTTGTTCTACAATTAACTGATTTTCCAACTAGAGAACTACAAGAGAATCGGTCCTTTATTTGTTCATGATTTTTTTGAACAAGGACTAAGGATCAGGCTTCTTGATGAATCAGTGTAAAAAAAAGTTAAAGCATTATACGTGGAGTTTACTAATAGGTATTCACATGTAGCATCATAAGTTACTGTTTTCTGGAGCCAGTTAATTCAACTATTCACCAATAGGCAGGGAGAGCAATGACCAATAACAACAAAAAATACATCACAAGTTTGGTTTCATGCTTGCCTTGCTTAAGAGACAGAAAAAAAAAATGGACAACAGAAAATCTAGTTTCCTTTTGCCAAAAATATGTTTCCTCGACCATTGGGCTGTTAAACTCATATTGAGTGAAGCTTAATATTAAAGTTGAGCAGACGAAGTGCTGATATGAACCTCATGTTCGTAGCTTCCAAAGCTTTGGTTGCATCCTCTTGTGACTCGAATTGGATGAAGGCAAAATTTCTTCTGATTCTAACATTCACGAGTTTACCATATGGTTCAAAATGCCTCTCCAAGTCCCTCGTCCTAGTATTTATTGGGTCAAAATTTATAACAAACAATGTTTTTGAAGGCCTTGAATTAGCAGCCGATCTTCTCGAACTAACAGACCTTCTACCACCACGTTCTTGCTACAAAAGGAAGCCAAAGAGTATTTTACTGAATAGCATAAAGAAAAAACAGCCATTACATGGACAAGGATTGGTTTCTACCTTCGTCCACTCAACACGAAGTCGGCGTCCCTGTTTTCCAAACTCTCTCCGATCAAGTCCACGGATTGCATCCTCAGCATCACGCTCATCTTCCATGTAAACAAAAGCAAACCCTGTAACACGAAAGTATAAAGAAGACATTGTAAGAGAATACAACTCCAGACAGAATTCACCTATGAAATTGAGTTGGATCAGTCCCTTACAAAGCCTGCCCATGGAGTAAAAGCTAAAGCTAGTGTCCAGATTAATCAGGAAGAGACATCTTTTTATGTACTAAGGGATGTCACAGAACAACAACTGTAGGCCATGGAACAGAGGAGGCCTTCTCCATCCATTCTCCAGCCAGTCGCCACATCAATATGGAAAACATGATTGGATAAGGAGGCTGGGTAAAAGTCATGGAATAGGAGGCAATGGTATCTTGGAAAACATTTCCGAAATAATGAAATGTCATTGCAAATTGTGGTTCAGATGGGGTCTCCGGAAAAGGACAATAAGATAAACTCACGCACAGGCCAGGAAAGGCGGTGCACAGCCCATGGGTGTTCCAAGACATTCCTGCGGCAAAGACAATGTTGAGTACAGGAGCTTAAACGTCAAAAAACAGTTTTAAAAATTTGCCCTAGCTCTAATTCCCCATCAGAACTCCACAAGTAGACCTTCATCAAAACTTGATTGCGTCCAGAAATGACCATATTATTCCAACATTGCCTACATGGCATTAAGAATGCTCCTGGCACTTTAAAGACCGAATGCCGTAACCACCAGCATTTATTGAAATGACCATATGTATTTTGTCGAATAAACACAGCCAAGTAAAAAAAAATGTACCATGCAACTCAGATTCAATAAAGAAAAATGAAGCCTTGCCATCTCAAATTTGAAGTAAAGCAACACATAGCTGTTGGAAAACAATTAACATCTATCCATGTTATAATCCTGTCATCATCCAAAAACAAGCTGCAAAAGCCACTCCCAAAATCTAATCACCGGCTCCTTGCTCCTTCATATTTCATGATAGCCGACAGAATTATATATATATATATACTCCTTGACATATCTAGCTGAACATGGTCCATAATCAAAAGCGCATAAAATTGGAATCTATGCCAAACCTCCATAGGCATTAATGTCGTTTTATAGCTTTGGTCTGACACATCATGACCATGTGCTCTAAAATTTAGCACAAAGTCCCAAATAATCAATTCTACTTTCAAGTGAATAAGCGAGAGCAAAATGAAATGCATAAATGATTTGTAAAAGGTAAACAAAATATGTGAGATGATTGTCATGGTCAAAACTCAGAACAAAATCATCAAAATTCAAATTCAATAATGGCATTTTTTATCATGATAAGAAACTAACTTACCTGACTTCATATCTACCCTATCAACCCTTCCATATCTGCTGAAAAGTCGCTCAATCTCAGACTGACGAGCATCATATTCAACATTACCACAGAAGATAGGCCTCATCATTGTAAACTGCAAGTTCAGGTGTTGTTGAATTAAGAAGAAATAAATACATAAAACAACAGGGACATGAACCAATGAGCTCGGAATGGAAAGTTAGCTTTAATTAGCGCAAAACATTAAGTAATAACAGCAAAATGAAAATCAAGCATTAAGTTCTTCCTCAATGAAAGGCAACCAGAAATCAGTCCAAGAACAATCACTAAACTTGTTCAAGATACCAACATAAGAAGTTAAGGATGCTGGAGATACAAGAGATGAGATTTCCATGGAATTTCCAAGCATATCTAGCATTACAACAGAATAAAATTAGTCATGTAAATATCAAGTCCATAGTTGTCGAAAAGAAAAATATTTTTTTTAACAATAAACATTTAGAATTTTGTATTTCAATTGTAATAAGTTAGCTGTGTCAATTGGAGTTTGAATTTGGAGGTATAATGTTAATCTTATTCCTAAGGTTTTTGTAAGTTATTTATTTATTTTGGCGAGGTTTCTTTAGCTATGATTTAGCTTGTGGATATTAAACTTCAACTATCATTTAAGTTTTATATATGTTGTGTAGGATTGACGTGACTATTTCAACAGTTTTCACTCAGTTGATTACCAGTGAAAGTAGCAAGCTCCATCTGTACATAGCAAGTTAAGTGGATTAGTAGTAAGTTTCACAAATCTTCCAAGTGAGACTACAATTTTTCTTTGGTAGCTTCTTTCTCATTAAATTTTGTTCAAAGACCAAAGGGACAAGTAGGGATGGTGGACCAAGTGGGGCCAGCGGAAAAGGCTATGAAGGTAAGACTAGGCAAGGATCTCGTCTAAGCATAGAAACACCTCTCTCATGGATCCACATGCAATCGGATTACTTACGTTGCGACTTGGCACATCCAGCAAGGTCCATAGGGCGAACAGATGTTGGAGTTATTGTTTGTGCTTTTGAATTATTGGATTTAATTATTTCCAATTATTTTCAACATAGGTTTGCATATAAAGACCCACTGAAGGAATAAAAAATTCAAGATTGGTTTCTTTGACTTCCCTTTCCAAGGAGTTAACCATTATTAGTTATGTAGACTAGATTAAAAATGAATTCTAGGGCTTCAAGCCACATATCACTTGAATGGAATATACTATCTAAAGTAGCCCGAAATTGTTGAGCCTTTTCTAAAAGGAAGAGAAAGATACATCATCGTGTGGATCCTTCTCTGAAGCTGAAAGTTCTTAAATTTGTACTTTATGATAAAGTTGAGTTCATGATCATGACATGATTATGGAATACCGTGATGCCTGAAATCAATGGGTCATACATGTTCTTCTACAAAATCAAGATTTATGAACTAAAGTTGCAAACCTGTCTTGTAAAATCAAAATGGCTCAATCCAAAAGAAATTGACAAGCTCAATAATTTACTCAACTCAATAGAAAAATCATTTGGATCGTGCTTTAACTCAAAATGACACAACTTCTAGCTCTTGTATTTTTAATGCCTCAAATAATTCCCCTAAAACTTAAATTTCATATTCAAGAGCCACTTAACATTTTCCAAACCTACAAAATCTAACCTAGTAATAAAAAAAGTGGTCATTAACAACTGTTTCAGGTAAACGGAATATTCTAACTTCTCTCACATTTACCCTCGACAACATACTACATATTCCTTATCTTGCAATAAATATTCTATCAATTCATAAAACCACCAAGGATCACAACTACAAAGTAATATATTTTTAATAATCAATTTGTATGTGTTTTTAAGGCCTCAGACGAGGAAAAAAATTAGCTGAGCTAGAAAAAGAATGGCTATATCTTCTTCAAGACAGAAATCACTTGTCATAATCCTTAATTTTTACTCTCAATACAAAAACCATATGGGAGCATCATTCTAAACTAGGACAACCCCTTTCAAAACCCTATAATATATGTTTCTTTACCTTTTTATGAATATGAACATTAAAAATTTTCATCGTGTAACTTATAAAATTATCAAAAATCATTGTATTTCCATTTCTAAAAGTGATTCTACATCCTCTAATCTTTTTATGACAATTCATTCTAATAATTGGGGACCCTTCAAAATCCCTAATATTTTTTAAGCCACACTTGTCACCTTTTTTTTATGAGCGAACTTGAATTATATAGTTATATTAAATGATATGCCAACATTATTTACCTCATGTTTAATACCATAATTAAAAAAAAAAATCAATTCAAAGCTAATATAAAGATATTTCAGACAGATAACATCAATAGCTACTTTAATAAAACATTATATTCTTTCTTTTATAAAGTGTCTCATTCACTAATCCTCCTATGCTGACATTCCCCACCATCAAGAGTGGCAAAAAGAAAAAATGTTCACCTTATGGAAGTCAACGTGACACTTCTTTTTAAATATCAAGTTCCAAAAACATACTTGTACAAGTTGTTCTATCCACCACATACATAATCAATTAAATTCCCTCAAGAGTGATTGCTTCAAATGTTCTAATACCTTGAAAAACTCTTCCTTGCAAATAACTTACTCTTAAAATTCCTTGGGTGCATTACTTATGTCCGCATACACAAATCACAAATAACATATGGGTAAGCTTAACCTCTAAATTATCTTTATTGAGTATTCATCCACTAAAAAATTAAATAAGTGTTATCATCTAAACACCCTAAAAAAGTATCACTTTAAAAGATGTCATCTTTGATGAAAAATAATTTTTTTTTCAAACAAACTTAATCTCTATGGGGGAGAGTAACCAACTAGAAAATAAATTTGATGAAGCTAATATCTTCTATCTTGACATTCCAACTTTCCAAAGTCCAATCATTATACCTCCTTAGGTTTATAGAAGGAAGAATAAGCCCAACTAAAGTATCCATCAAGCTCAAGACTAGGATCCATCATTAGGTAGCAATAATCAACCAAACACCACTCCTATGTATCTCATCACCCAATAAACATCCTTTTGAAAGTTTCCTCCTACAAATAAGTCTTACAAGCATCAACTCTAATTTCACAAATCCTATTTGAGACACTTGAAAATAAGAATTTAAAGATTGTCATGAGAGAAGATATAAATGCTCTAGTAAAAATCACGCATGCAAGACAGTTAGACTATCAAAGGGGAAAGAAACTATAGGATGCAAATGAAGTTTCATTAAAATATAGTACAGATAGAAGCCTGGAATAACATAAAACAAGATTAGTAGCGAAATGATATACTCAATCCCCAAGAAATTCATTATCAAGAAACATTTGCTCATGTTGCAAAAATGAATACAATTCACATCCTAATATCTCAAATCACTAACCTTAAATGGTAAATATAATAATATGAGGTAGAAAAAGCATTCTTACATGGAGATGTTTATAATAAGTCTATATGATCCTCCACCAGGGCTTGATAGCTCTTTCACAATGATCCTAAATAATCCCAAAGAATATGGTTTGGCATATTTACAAAATTCATGATTAAAGCAATATACAAGCAAATCCAAGAGACCATACTCCCTTAATAAAGAACAATAATAATTAAAAAATTTTCATTTCTCATTATATATTTTGGTAATATAATTGTTATAGGTGATGACAAAAAAATAAGCCACTCGGGAAAAAACTTCCTAAAAATTTTGAAATCAAAGAGCTGAGAAAACTCAAATACTTTTTGGGTATAAAAGACACTCAGTCATAACAAGAAAATTTCATTCTCAACAAAAATATGTCATGGGAAACAAAAATAAATGATTATAAGCCTTGAGAAACTCCAATTGAACAAAGACGAAACTAAACACAAGATGAAATAATAGAGGTGAACACGGGACAATATTAAAAATTAATTGAAAAATTAATATATCTATGTCACACTCATCTAAACATCGCCTTTATAAAAATCTTATAAGTCAATTTATGCACAAATCAAAAACATCTTGCCTTCAAACAACTTATAAATTCTTAGGTACCTTAAATTAAACCCTGAGGAAAGAATTATCTACAAGAAGAGAGAAACAACATGTTGTTTCAAGGTCTAACGCTAAATCTGAATTAAGAGCAATTGCTCCAAGTATGTGTGAGTTGTGGATTAATATTATTTAAAAAGAAATGAAAAGTAAGCGGGAAGAGCTTATGAAAATATACTATGACGATAAATATGGTGTGCAGCATGATCGAACCAAACATGTGAAAGTGGATAAATATTTCATAAAAGAGAAGGAAGAGATTTAATTTTGCACTTTGGATGTCTCTACAGAAAACTAGCTGTTTGATATATTCACTAAAGGACTCTACAGCACCACATTCAAAAATATTGTAAGTAAACTTGGGATGGCATACCCATACCACCCAATTTTAAGAGGGGTAGGGGGTTGTTAAAGGGCCTATTGGGGCCGACAAGAAAAACTAAGAAGGAAAGAGGCCTCAAATTCCCTTGTAGAAGCAAGGAAACAACTCTCCCACGAATCCATGCAGAAGAAAGAAAATAAAAAGGCTTTATGGGGATATGATTGACGCAATAAAGCAAGCCCCAATGTGGATGGATAGTTGCTGGATTTTTTTTTTTGAATTATTGTATTTAGTCATTATCAATTATTCTTCATATAGTTTTGTGCATAATTCCCATTTAAGAAATAAACAACTCAAACTTTCAAGCCCTTTTTTTCTACAATTTTCTCAAATCCTATTTTGCATTCCAAAAGGTTAAAAATAAAATGCATATGATTCATACAAAAGAGACTTTAATGGCTTAATACTTTTACATGTAGAAATTGTTCTTCTCCTCTTAGGATTATATTCCTCTACCAACTGTGGATTTAGGAAATTTTGAAGATATCACCTTGATCCATTGAGAGACTTTTTTGGGTTAATTATGTTCAATTCTTCCTTTCTCTCTATCTATTAATATTTTTATTTTTTTCTCATTCATTGAAATCATAATTGAATGATATCCAATTCACTACAATCTGATTTTCTTTCTTTGCATAAAACTTAAATATTTTTTATTTAGTGTGGCTTTCAAAATCCTTAGCTTTCATGC